GGAGGTTTGCAGACCGGCCGCGCTTGTGAGAGGCCCTCTCTGGCTCTCGCGAGCGGCGGACAGCTTCTGGGCGAGGCTGTGCCCGGAGTCGTTGCAGGTCCTTCTTCTCTCCAAGTCGACCCTTTGGGCCTCCCCCAGACTTAGGGGGCCCTGCAAACGACAGGGCCGTTTTTTTACTGGTTCCGTTTTGCCCTTTTGTTGCCGGTTCCGACGCCGTTCTTGTTACCGGCTCCGTCGCCGTTTGTTGACCGGTTCCGGCTCCGGTTCCAATCCTGGAGCCGTTTTTTTGCCGTTTTTGGTCGCCGTTTTTTTTGCCGTTTCCATGTTCAAGGGACATTTGTGTGGAACCGGTGAAAAAACGGCCCTGCCGTTTCCGGGGCCCACAAAGCCCCCGGATGCGTTCTGGGGGGTGGGATTTCCAGGTGCATCCAGCCGTGGCCACGACCTTGCTCCAGGAGACCCCAACCGGACGACAACCAGAAAGTTCTTCTTCGTCCTGCCTCGTCCGCTTCCCCCTGAGATCCCTGGAAGCCCGAAAGGGCCCCAAGCATTTGAAACTTCGGTCCTACTCTATCCTCGAAGCTCGATCCTTCTCGATCCTCGTCCCCTCCCCCCGCGCGCGGGGGGGCGCGCGTGGGAAAGGGGAGGAGGAGGGAGCAGGGTGCGCGTGGGTGAACGAGACCACTCCCGACGGGATGCCTCGTGAGTGACGCCAGTCCTCCTCGCCCTCCCTGCCCCTCCTCTCTCTCTCATTCTTCTTCCTCCGCCCCTGGGGGGAGGACGGGGGGCGGGGGAAAGGGGCATCAGTCCACTCGGGGCACGCGAGGCCTGCGTGGCAGGACAGGCAAGTGCCTCGTGAGCATGCCCCTGAGATTCACGAGGGCCGCGAGGAAAGGGACTCTCGGCGCGAGGGGGAGGACGCCGAGGGCGCTGTGCGTGTGCGTGTGCGTGTGCGTGCGTGCGTGCGTGCGTGCGTGCGTGCGTGTCTGTGTGTGTGTGTGTGTGTGTGTGTGTGTGCGTGCGTGTGCGTGCGCGTGTGTGTGTGTGCGTGTGTGTGTGTGTGTGTGTGCGTGTGTGTGTGTGTGTGTGTGTGTGTGCGTGCGCGTGTGCGTGCGTGCGTGCGTGCGTGCGTGCGTCTGTGTGTGTGCGTGTGTGTGCCGCCGCTGGCCCCCCCCCCCCCGCCCCGGCGCTCGCCCCGCCGCGGCCCCTGCCCTGCTCCGCGCGGGGCCCGGCCTCCTCTCGCCCTCCCGCCCGCGCGGGGCCTCCGATGTTTTCTTTTCTTCCCGCGCGCCCTGCGGCTTGATTCGCGTCTTCCTCCTGCTCCTCCTCCTCCTCCTCCTCCTTCTCTTCCCCCTTCTCGTCCCTCCTCCTTCTCTTCCTCCTCCTCCTCCTCCTCCTTCTCTTCCCCCTTCTCGTCCCTCCTCCTTCTCTCTCCTCCTCCTCCTCCTCCTCCTCCTCCTCCTCTCCTCATCTCTCCCCCTTTCTCGTCCCTCCTCCTCTCCTCTCTCCTCCTCCTCCTCCTCCTCTCTCCTCCTTCTCCTCCTCCTCCTTCTCTTCCCCTTCTCGTCCCTCTTCCCGCGTCCCCCCCCTCCCCTCCTCCTCCTCCTCCTCCTCCTCCTCCTCCTCCTCCTCCTCCTCCTCCTCCTCAGCATCAACATCAGCAGCAGCAGCAGCATCATCATCATCATCATCATCATCTGGGTAGTCGAAGGCCAGACTGTCAGATTGGATTGGGCCCCAAGGGCCAATCTGGCCTGGCCAAGCTGGAGGATTGGGGTTCTTCGCCAGGCTGGATTCGCGCTGGCTCCCTCGCCAAGTTGCCCCGTTTGCCGGATTGGGCCTGCCAGATTGGCGCCAGATTGGCTTCGACTGCCCAGTTTTGTGTGACCTACTACAGTGGGGGCGCGCATCAAGAAGCCAGATGCCTTTCGTCAGGGCCTCCTGGGCTGCTTCGCTCCGCGCGCAGCGCGGAGACTTACCGCAGCCGCTGAAGAAGCTGCTGCGTTCAGGGTGTCCCCGGTTTCCCCTCAGGCGCATTTTCCAGGGTTGGGTTTCTTACGAGGGTTCCTCGCGGCCGCGCCCGCACTGTACACCTTAGGCGATGCTTAAGAAAACTTATTTTTTCGGCCAGACTCTCGATTATTCTTAATGTTTCAATGTGAATCCTAAGATTTGAATGGAAATTGTGGGTCTTTATTCAAGTTCTGAGACTCTGAATTTCTTAACCCATGATTTCTTAAGCATTTCGCAGGGTGTAATGCCACATCGCCGGAGCAGTCCTCTGCCCAGCTGCCGACCCCGAAAGCGTGCGCGACGTGCCGCGCTCGCCCCGTGCTTCAAATCGGACGGCGGGTCCCGCGGCTGAGCATCAACGCACAAGCTTCGACAAGGAAGGCCCCGTGCGCCCCATGACGACGCCTTGACGCACGGGCAGCCACGACGTGTCGCAGAATTCGAATACCACGAGCATCCATCGCAGGTGCCTGCGAACTCCCTATATCACAGCGCTGTGACGATCCAGGCAAATCGATGTTTCAAGATCTGGTCGAGGGCGAATGGCAGTGCAGCTTAAAATCCAGCTCCGATGGGCAACAGCACAGGTGAAATTGTACATATCGCAGATGGTAATGTGACGTGGCAACGTAATATGGACACGGCTTGCACGTCCTGTTAGCCCACCAAATCATCTCGTCGTTTCATTTTCCTTCAGACTCAAACAGGATAGCTTGCCCGGTACACGTGTGTCTCTGTGCAGTTTGCCCGTAATGGGCCCCGCAATTTTTTTGAAATGGCCGTGGCCCGTTGTTTCCCATATCCATATTGATTTCCGCATGGTTTCCCGAATAGTCTCTCGCATGGCCGTGACACTACCCACGACGACTCGAACAGAAACGCTTGCCCGATGCACATATTTCCTGAACCAGGTTGCTTGTAATGTCTTTCAATCATTCCAAGGCCGTGGCCCGCGGTCTCCCCGATGGTTTTCCCACGTTCCCCCGTCTGGTCTTCTGCATGGTTTGGTTTGGTTGCTGTTTAAATCTTGCACGGAAGTTTTCATTGTTCATTCTATATAGCGGTCTCGATTCAGTATTTCCAAGAGTTGTTCAGGGTCTTTTGCCATCAAGGGGGTCATTGATTTGCCCCCCCCCAGGTCGTCAAGGTCGGGGAAGTGACACCCGTGGACGCCCCACAGTCGTCTCGAAGTCGCCCTAGCGCCACGCGAAGGCGGAGACGGTGGCCTGGCGAGCCCACGAGCAAAACGGCTGCGGAGTACTCGAGCCACCCGTGCTCGAGAGTGGAGAGCAGGGAGTAGAGAGGAACCGTCAAGCTAGGCACCCGCGCGCCATGTTCGAAATCTTACCATTCCCACCCATCTCTTCCCGTTGTGCTGCTGTTCTCCAATAGCCAACGCGTCTCACTGCGGGCTTGGAACTCCAGAAACGACCGTGCAGGGAGGAGGTCGGAGTGGGAGGAGTCATGGAGGGGGGGAGGAAGGCAGGAACCACTAGGAGGAGGAGGAAACGGGGACGGATGGAGGAGCAGGACAGGATTCCTTATCGTCCGCTCCCCTTCTCGTCCTGCTTTCCTCCTCCTCCTCCTCCTCCTCCTCCTCTTCATCCTCCATCTCTGTTGTTTGACGTTGATCGGACCTGGAGAGGAAGCCTGTGGCGTCGGTGATGCAATGAGAAACACGATCGCCGACCTAGACGAACAGCAACAACAGAACACTTGGGCTGTAGGTGCCGAGCGCTGCGGGAGAAGACGTGCGATACACATCGGCGGCCGACAGAGGCCGTCGGGGGCGCAGAGTTAGCGCTCACCACCAGCGCTGGGGGACGTGCCCACGAGGGGATGCTCCTGCTCTTCCTCCTCCTCCTCCTCCTCCTCCTCCTCCTCCACCCACCTCCTCCTCCTCCTCCTCCTCCTCCTCCCTCCTCCTCCTCCTCCTCCTCCTCCTCCTGCTCCTCCTCATCTATCTCCTCCTCCGCCTCTCGCCTCCTGCCCCGTTCCGCTATCGAGCTGATGCGAAGGATTGATTCCACGGGGTCAAGGGTTCGAATCCCGCATTTTGAAAGCAAGCGTGTACTACGACATCTGAGCTTCGGCGCTCCGGCACCCCCGCCGAGCTTTTGAAGCTCCGCGCGCCCCCCCCCCCCCCTGGGGGCGAAGATCGGCGCCTTTCCTTGCCTTGCCTCCTGCTTCCGTCCTCCTCCTCCCTCCTGCATCTTTCCTGCTCCTCCTCCATCTCCTCCTCCTCCTCCTTCCTCCTTCCTCCTTCCTCCTCCTCCTCCTCCTCCTTCTATAGCACGCCGGGACGGTCGGGGGAACCCAAAGTGGTCGACATGCCGCATCGGCGGGACAGATGGAGCCAGGGACTTGCCGGAGAAGGCGGAGGGCGGCGGGGGGGTTGGGGTGGCGGCGCCCCTGCCGGCCGTGAGGGCCCTCCCTCTGGGGTGCGTGGGTCCTCCTCCTCCTCCTCCTCCCCTCCTCCTCCTCCTCCTCCCTCCTCCTCCTCCTCCTCCTATCTCCTCCTCCTCCTCCCTCCTCCTCCCCCTCCTCCTCCTCCTCCTCCTCCTCCTCCTCTCTCCTCCTCCTCCCCGCCGTCAGGGTTCCCCCCTGGCTCGGGGTCCCCGGCCAGCTCTTATCTGGCGCCCCCCCCCCCCGTTCCATCCTTGTCGCCGCAGGGGCGCGCTTCGCGGAGGCGGCGCCGCCCCTCCGACGCGCGGCGCGTCGCCCGGTCGGCGTGCCGTGTGTATGCCGGCGCCGCCGAGCCGGTATTGAGCCTTGGCAGTTTGGCAAAGGAGCCGAGCCTGTAGTTCGGTTCGGCTGAGAGCCCAGGCGGCTCAGTGCGACGCCTGTGACACCTTCCGGATGCGCGCTGGTCCTCCTCCTCTTCCTCCTCCTCCTCCGCCTCTCGCCTCCGGCCTCCGTCCTCCACCTTCTCCTCGGAGAGGGGGCGAACGGGGGGGGCAGCGCGCGCCGAGGGGCGAGAGGGGCAGGATGGTCTGGCTCTGCGCGGACTTCTGGCGCCGCCCCTGCGAAGGCCCACCTCGCCCCGCCTCGACGACGCTTGTCCGGGGTGGCCGAGAGGGGGGTGATGACTCAGGGTGGGATGGATATCACGGCGTGGGCCATGGTATTTCCCAGATTCCATTGCGTTTCTTCTCATTTCACTGCGTCCCCGCCGCCCCCCCCCGGCCGCGCACGTGCAGCCGGCCATGATCTGCGCCCCCCCTCTTGGCCGCCCCCGAACATCGCTTGTGGAGGGGCAAACGATCGAATGGAAAGGGGGGGGCAAGGATGGGAGGGAGGCGTGGGTTGTTGGCGGCGAGCGAGGGGGAGGGGAAGTGATAATCGAAGGAAAAAAGGTCGTAGACATCAGCTGTTGGCGCTCTGCGCGGATCTCTTGGATCCGCGCTGGGCCCCCCTCCCCCCCCCCCCAGCGGCGCCTCCTGCGCCGCCCTTGGCGCGCGGAACGCGCCAGGGAGGGGCGCCCAGCGCAGATCCCAGAAATCCGCGCGGACCTCCGAAAGTTTATGTTGATGCCGTCTCTTGTTCGTCACAGGAGGGGAGGGAGGCATGGGGTGGCGGCGAGCGAGGGGGAGGGGAAGTGAGAATTGAAGATAATACGTCGTAAGCATAGGCTGTTGGCGCTCCGCGCGGATTTTTTTTGATCGGCGCTGCCCACCCCCCCGGCGGCGCCTCCTGCGCCACCCCTGGCGTGGAGCGCGCCAGGGAGGGGGGTCCAGCGCAGATCCCAGAAATCCGCGCGGACCTCCGACAATTCATGTTGAGGCCGGCTCTTGTTCCTATCAGCAAGGGAGGGAAGCATGGATTGGCGGCGAGCGAGGGGGGGGAAGTGAGAAGGGGCGGGCCTTCTCAGGAGGCTCGAAATCCCCAGGCCTTCTGAGAAGTGTTTTGAGCCTGCCCAGAAGGCAGAAGCCGCGAGGGCTTCTGAGAAGTCCCGCCGCCTTCTGCGAGGGCATTGTCCTTCTCGCTTCCCCCCCGTGCTCGCCGCCGAATGGGGGAAAGGGCGGGCAGGGAGGGGTGGGGTGGGGCGATGAAGAGGGATGGCGAGGATGGGTGCGGGAGGAGGGAGGGACGAAGAGGAGGAGGAGGAGGAGGAGGAGGAGGAGGAGAGAGGAGGAGGAGGAGGAGGAGGAGGAAGGAGCAGAAGAAGAAGAAAAGAGAGGAGGAGGAGGAGGGAGAGGAGGAGGGGAGGAGGGAGGGAGGGACGGAGGAGGGAGGAGGGGTCGAGGATCGAGGTTTTGGGGCACGTGATGCTTCTTCCCGCGCATCTCCGGAGGCTCCTGGGCCCTCTGGGGGCCTGCCCCAGAGGCGACGCAGGAGGGAGCGGAGGGAGGGACGGAGGCGGAGGAGGAGCTGCAGGGTCGAATTCGGCGTCTCCCCCTTCTCCTCCTGCTCCTCCTCCTCCTGCTCCTCCGCCGCCTCCTCCTCCTCCTCCTCCCCCTCCTCCGCCGCCTCCTCCTCCTCCTCCTCCTCCTCCTCCTCCTCCTCCCCCTCCTCCTCCTCCTCCTCCTCCTCCCCCTCCTCCTCCCCCTCCGCTTTTTCCTCCATCCTCGCTCCTGCTGCCCTTTTTCGGGCCCCAGACGCCCTCGTGACTACAACCGGACGGGTCCCAGACGATGAGTCGGACGGGAGGGGAGGCGGGGGTCCCCATCGGCAGGCCATGGAAACGAGGGAGGGAGGGCGGGGGGGCCTGCCCTCGGGCCCCCTTTGGGGCAACTGCTAGCGCAGAAGCGTCGACAGGTCACGGGGGCCCACACCAAACGTCAGTGGAAGTCCTGGGGTCTCAGGACTGAGTGTCTTGTGGAAAGTCTCTTGTGGTCGGGCCTCCACGGTAAGTCATTGCATCGGATGTCTGGGGAAGGGTGGGAAGAACGGGGGATGGTCGGGGGCGGGGTGCGAACCTTCTTGGGCGCCTTCGCGGGCCTTTCTGCACACCTCGGCCTCACGAACCGCCAAATTATGCCACCCCCCTGTGGTGGTGGTGGTGGTGGTGGTGGTGGTGGTGGTGGTGGTGGTGGTGGTGGTGATTTCCCCTTTCCATGAGATGGAGGAGGAGGAGGAGGAGGAGGAGGAGGAGGAGGAGGAGGAGGAGGAGGTTGAAGTTGAGGTGGAAGTGGATGAAGAAACCGAGGTTCAATGTGGTGGTCGAGCGTAAAAACAACGCGGAAGAGAAGGAGGGAGGGAAAGAAACGCACCGCTTGCAGTTCCCCTCGCCTGGCAGCAGCAAGAGCATCTCCAGCCGCCAGCGGCAAGAGCAACTCTGCCGTTGCTGGGGAAACCCAAAAGGACTGATACCGCTACTCCCGAGACCTCTCCAGGGTTGCGTTCCGACCAGGTCTTCGAGGCGAATCCAGCGGTGGCAACGAGGGCCTCCCAGGAGGCCCCAGAGGGGGCAAACGGGCGGGCGGGTGGAGATGTGGGTACCCTTTCCTCCTCCGACTTGCTCCTCCGAGGCCTCTGCGGCTTCCAGGGGCCCAGGGGGGCCGACCAAAAACGCTGGAGCTGGAGGAGGAGGAGGAGGAGGAGAGGGAGGAGGAGGAGGGAGGAGGAGGAGGGAGGAGGAGGAGGAGGATGAGGAGGTAGAGGAAGGAGAGGAGGGTAGGAGAGGGAGGAGGAACCATGTTGTGTGCCCCCGCGGGCTACGACGACGACGGACGACGATGACCCCGCCGGGGCTCTCAGCGTGAACGAGGCAGCGCCGCGACGGACGGCCGCCAACCGCTGGGTGCCCTGCAGGTGGAGCGGCTCCGGGCCCTCCTCCCACCTCTCCTCCCTCCTCCTCCACCTCTCCTCCACCTCCCTCCCTCCTCCCCTCCTCCTCCCTCCACCCCCTCCTCCCTCCTCCTCCTCCTCCCCTCCTCCACTTCCACCTCCCTCCTCCTCCACGCTCCTCCCTCCTCCTCCTCCTCCTCCTCCTCCTCCTCCCCTCCTCCCCTCCTCCCCTCCTGGCCTCCTCCTCCCGCCTCCTCCTCCTCCCTCCTCCTCCTCCTCCTCCTCCTCCTCCTCCTCCTCCTCCTCCTCCTCCTCCTCCTCCTCCTCCTCCTCCTCCCCAGACCCCCCGACGCCAGGAGTCTTCCATGACGTCGATCCCCGGGTCCCGGGACGCCCTGGCGGCCCCTGTCTGGCCGGGTCCCAGACGATGAGCCGGCCGCGACGGACGGCCGCCACCCGCTGGGGGCCCTGCAGGTGGAGGCGGCTCCGGGGCCCTCCTCCCTCCTCTCCTCCCCTCCTCCTCCTCCTCCCTCCTCCTCCCCTCCCTCCTCCCTTCCTCCTCTCCTCCCCCTCTTCCCTCCTCCCCCTCCTCCCTCCTCCGCCCTCCTCTCCTCCTCCTCTTTCCTCCTCCTCCACCTCCTCCTCCTCCTCCTCTCCTCCTCCCCTCCTCCTCCGCCTCCCTCCTCCTCCTCCTCCCTCCTCCCCTCCTCCTCTCCTCCTCCTTCCTCCTCCTCCTCCTCCTCCTCCTTCCTCCTCCTCCTCCTCTCCTCCTCCTCCTCCCCAAGAACCCCCCGACGCCAGGATCTCATGAACGTCGATCCGGGGGTCCGGGCGCCCTGGTGCCCTGTCTGGCCGGGTGCCCCAGAACGAGGAGGGGAGAACCGGGAGTGGAGGCGGAGGGGTCCCCACGGAGGAGGAGGAGAGGAGAGGAGGAGGAGGAGGAGGAGGAGGAGGAGAGTAGGGGAAGGAGGAGGAGGAGGAGAGGAGAGAGAGAGGAGGAGGAGGAGGAGGAGAGAGGAGGAGGAGAGAGGAGGAGGAGGGGAGGAGGAGGAGGAGGAGGAGGAGGGGGGGGGCACGCCCTGCGGGCCCTCTGGGGCAGCTGCCGGCGAGCAATCGTCGGCAGGTCACGGGGGCCTCGGTCACGAGTGCGCCGGCGGCCCATGCCGAGGGTCGCCCTGCTTGCCTCCAGGGTGCCCTGGGTCTCTCGGGTTTCGATGGTTTTCCTGTGGCTTGGCATCGCTCGGACGTGTGCATTTTTTCTCGGCGAGGGCCATCGAGGAGCATCCTTGATCATTTGGCGAAAAAACCACGCACGAAATCGAAAAAAGCACAGGGAGTGGACGTCCGAGCGATGGCCAGGTGGAAGGCGCGAATCAGCTGCAGCGGGTGGTGGTCGCCCCTGTGCAGTGCAGGCCTGTCGGGCACGACGTTTGCGTGCCTGGTGTGGCCCCACAGGTGTTAGCGTGTTGTTTACGATTGGTGATACTGCTCTTGCTTCCAGGTGTCCTCGTCCATAGCACTCCAGGAGGCCATTGAAACCTCGTATATACCCCCCCACACCCGGGACACATTCAAACCAACAAGATAATTCGATTGAAGTTGCGAGTTAAGTCGTTAATGTGACTCTGTATCGGTCCCCGCTTGATGATGACTTCCATCCTTCGCTAGTGATGCTCGCTTCCCACCTTGTCCTCGAGGGGGAGGGGGAGGAGCAGGAGGAGGAGGCTGAAGAGGAGGCTGAGAAGGATCGATGGAGCTCAAATCTGAGGATGGATAGACACGCGAAAGTATTTGAAGTAGTGGGAAGCTCTGGCGCCTGCGAACCGCAAGGCTTGAAAGCAGAGGCTCATCAATGACTGGCCAGCTACTGCGATCACTGTCGGCAGAGACTTTTAGTGGCCTTGGGGCAGCTGCGCTGTTGCAAACTCGCGTGCGGACTTCTCAGGGCCGGCTGCCAGACGCTACGGCCAGCGTCGGCAGGACTTGCCGGTGCTACCTGTAGCCCACTCATAGAACAATTGCCTCTTCCTCTTCCTCTTCCTCCCTCCTCCTCCCCGCGCGCGCGGGAGCTCGACCAGGGTGATGGGGGGAAGGGAGGGGTCGGTAGGCACGGAAAAAAACAGCCGAAGAGGATGCGGAACAAGATCGTTTTTTTTTTTTGTGTGTGTGTGTGTGTGTGTGTGTGTGTGTCTGTGTGCCAGGATGGGAAAAAACACAGAAACAATGAACCGTCGATTCCCCAGACAATTTTTGAAAATATGGGAAGTGGGGGGGAATGACACAAACACAGAACACATGGGAAAACATGGGTAGTCCTGTTATTTGTGTGTACTTCTTTGTGTGTCCCAGGGCCCCTTCAGTGTGTTAGGTCGTTCAGGAAGCCACGCTCATCCTGGCCACGCGTGAGATAGCCGCGGACCTGGACTGCCCTGACGGTCCCGAGCTGCTCCTGGGCAACCTGGGCGAGGCAGGCCAATCCACCGAGGTCCCAGCCACCGTTCCGATCACTTTTCCGTGCGTTCCTTTCCCCCTCCTTGCCTACAGTCGGGGCGCTGAAGAAGGAACCCTTTTCGTTGGGGAGGGGCTTCGTGTTCCTTGATTGCTTCACAATTTGCCTTGGTTTTTTTCCTCCGGTGTTCGATGGGAAATCGAAGTTCAATTTGTGGATCGAAGGGGCCTCGTTCCTTATTTAGGCTTCCTTGGGTCAACGCCCCGACTGTACCCCTCTGCCCCCGCTTCCTCCTGTGCTCTTCCCCCCGCTTTGCTTCCATCCTGGTGCTACGCGCCGACGCCGCGGCCTGTGAGGCCCTGATCAGCAGCGTCTACTTGCGGGCCCTGGGGAGAGCCATGGAGCCGCTGCGCGCGAAGGAGCTCCGGCTCAGAGGAGGAGGAGGAAGAGGAGATAGAAAAGGAAGAGGGACGGACGAGGATGACCTGAGGGATGCGATGGGAAGGATGGGGAGGTGAAGGAGGCCCACCTCCTCCCCCCCTCGTCCTTCTCCTCCGCCTCCTTTGGTGTGGTGATTGGCTTGTGCATGTGTGGACACCACGGCTCACGTTCTTGAGGGATGTGCGCTAGGTGGGGCAGGCGGATGCAGATGTGAAAGGAGGGGTTCGAGAAGGAGGAGGGGGACAGCACGAGCAAAAGCGGAGGGGGGGAGACGACCACGGCATGGATAGGGAAGTGGATTAGGATGTGGAGGAAGAGGGCCAGCGAGGCTGAGGAAATTGAGCAGGCCGAGTATGATGATAATGATGATGCTGATGAAGATGATGATGGTGATGATGACGACGATGATGACGATGATGATGGTGATGATGATGATGATGATGATGACGATGATGATGATGATGACGATGATGATGATGATGATGATGACGATGATGATGATGCTGATGATGATGATGATGATGATGATGATGATGATGATGATGATGATGATGATGATGGTGGTGGTGGTGGTGCTGATGCGAATGCTGATTGTATGACGAGGCTGATGACGATGGTGATGGCAATGCTGCTGATAATAAAGATGATTGAGGAGGGAGGCGAGCTTTTCAAGCTGCCACAGGGGAACGGGTGGACAGGTCCCAGGAACCGTTTCTGAGAAACAAAAAAACTTCCAGCCGCCACATGTCTTGGAAAGAGAAGGAGAGGCGCTGGGCTGGAGGAACATGAGGAGGGATGATTTGATCAGAGGTGGAGGATTGGAGATGTCGCAGCATTCCTTACTTCTCACTGGAGGAAGACATGGTGTGTCTCCGTACCCGCATTCCCTGAACCCTCACCCGCAGCTACCTGTGCATCAGCATCACTCTAGGTCTCCTCATCTCCTCTTCCTCCTCCTCCTCCTCCTCTTCCTCGTCCTCCTCCTCCGCCTCCTCCTCCTTCTGCTTCTCCTCCTCCTTCTCTCCTCCTCCGCCTCCGCCTCCTCCTCCTCCTCCTCCTCCTCCTCCTCCTCCTCCTCCTCCTCCTCCTCCTCCTCCTCCCCCCCTTTCCAGCTCACCTCATCGTCGCCGTGGCACTTGTCCTACATCCCACCACGGGCGATGCCCCTCGTGTCCTCCTCTACTCCCGCCTCGTCCCCAGCTCTCGCCCACTTCTCCTTCCCCACACGCCCATCGCGTCCCCGCCCTTCTCATCCTAGCAGGCGTGCCTCGATCTCGCTTGCCGGCAGATCAGAGGAACGCCCCCTTACTGCAGGAGCAGCTCTCTTCCACTTCTCCTCCCCACACGCCCATCGCGTCCCCGCCCTTCTCATCCTAGCAGGCGTGCCTCGATCTCGCTTGCCGGCAGATCAGAGGAACGCCCCCCTACTCCAGGAGCAGGAGGCAGATGATGAGGCTTGCTCGGTGCCTCCGTGGGCCCTGCGCTTGCGGCAAGCCGCGTCCTTGTCTAAATAACGCTTCTGCGTTTTTGCACGGCTGCTGATGACATGTTCGCACGGTTGCGCGTTGTTGTCTCGTTGATCGCACAAATTGAAAGAGGAATGTTCAACGATGGGAAACGGTTTTTTTTCCATTTCATGGTTAATTCTTGTTTTAAACCAAGAACATAAATAAACACACAACAAGTCAGCACAAACACATAAGGAGAACTAAACAACCCAAACAACAAACAACATAATTGTGTGCCGCATTAGCGGCCTGCCTAAGGCATCGTGCAAGGCTGCTGTGTCCTTGTGCGCAAGACCCTGTTCGTCTCTGGAGGCCTCCCGAACTCCCCAGAGACCCCGCAGGCTTCCGGATTCCTCCCCAAAGACCCAGAACGCATGACGACGTGCATCCGCGAACCCCCTCCTCGAACCCCCTCCGGCCTGGCGCAGCCCGCAGGGACTTCCGGTGACACCCTGGGCCATCCATCATTTGCGAGCCCGCCCTTCCTGCCCTGACCTTCCGGAGCGAGGAGAGCATGAATCTCCCTCCAGAGCCATGGAGACCTAGCTGGCCTGCTCAGAAAAGCCTCGGCAAGACCTCAGACGCCGAGGTCCTTGGTGCTATTTTTTCCAGCCCTCGCGGAGGGCCGTGGGCGGACGCCCCCCCTCCCCGGACGCCCGCTGCCGCGCTCTCGTCGGTGCCGAGAGCGCTTGCGGCCGGCATTGGCGCGGCCGCGGCGCCCACGCTCGTCGCGCCTCCTCCCCGGCCCTCGGGCGCTCGGGGACGCCCCCTTTGCGGCGGCGACGGCGGCGGCCGCGGCGGCGGGGACGGCGGCGACCGCCTCCCCTTCGGATGCAACTCCGCCTCCTCCTCCTCCTCCTCCGCCTCCTCCGCCTCCTCCGCCTCCTCCTCCTCCTCCTCCTCCTCCTCCTCCTCCTCCTCCTGAAGGCGGAGACGGCGGAGACGGCCTTCAGGGGGGGGGTCTCCCCTTCGCATGCAGCTTCTGGGAGGTCAGGCTCTGACGTTGCCCTGGTCCGAAATCAGGCTTCATCCGGCTTGGTCTCGCCGAAATTAATAATCCCGCTCGATCCATCGTCAGCCCGCTTGCTCCGAGGCCCACTCTGGCGTGACGGCCCCCCCAAACGGGGCTTACTCCTTCTTAGTCTGAAGTCGGGCCTGTCCCTCTACAGGGGGAATATTCAAAAATAGGAAAACAACAGTCTGGGGAGTATTTTTTCTGACAATTGGGGAGTCTTTTTAGAAGCATGTTTTAAAAATTTGTCCGCGAAGATCCCCCTGTAGGGGGACACGGCCGACTTCATCTTAGTCCTTCCGACGAAGACCTCCCAGCAGGTTGCCTCCCCCTCCTCCTGCTCCTCCTCCTGCTCCTCCTCCTCCTGCTCCTCCCTCCTCCTCCTCGTCCTCCTCCTCCTCCTCCTCGTCCTCCTCGTCCTCGTCCTCCTCGTCCTCGTCCTCCTCCTCCTCCTCCCCGCGGCGAGGAGGGGGAGAAGGCGGCGCTGCTGCCCGAGGAGGGCGTGGAGCTGCTGGCGCTGCTTCTCGAGGCCTGGGCCGGTCGCCCTCGTCCTTCTCTTCCTCCTCCTCCTCCTCCTCCTCCTCCTCGCCCTCGACGACGGCGACGATGGCGACGACGATGACGACGACGGCGGCGGCGACGACGACGACGACGACGACGGCGGCGACGACGACGACGGCGGCGACGACGACGACGACGGCGTCGACGGCGGCGACGACGGAAACAAGGACGACGACGAGGGATGACGCTGGCGACGACGACGATCTCGAGCGCCGCCGACGACGATGGCGACGGCAACGGCGAAGGTTCCTTCGACGACGTCCACGGCGGTGACGTGGACGGGTGTTGTCGCCGCCAACGACGACGGCGGCGGTGGCAACGGCGACAGCACCGCCGACGACGGCGGTGGTAACGACGACGAGTGCCAACGACGAAGGCAAAGTAGAATGCAGATGCAAGGACGCCGACGACGTCGACAGCAGCGGCGAGGACGGCGAGTGCTGACGACTGCGGCTTCGGCCGACCTTTCTGGCCTTCCCGGCTGTCTAGCCGTACGGACCTTGCCATATTCTCAGGTTTTGGCGCGGTTCGACTATGTGTTGCGTTTTCCACCTGGGCTTTGAGGTCGCGGTTCTCGTTTTATGTTTCAGGTGGTCAGGAGGTTGGGGGTTGGAAGGCTGTGCTCTGGATGGTTGGTGGCGGGGGTGCCTGAAGGTTGGGGGCTGGAAGGTGGGAGGTTGCAGATTTCAGGGCTGGAAAGCAGGTGGGCGGCCGGGCTTGACGGTTTGGGGCTGCACTGTTGGGGGCCGGAAGGTTCTAGATTGGAGCGCCGGGGGTTGG